GGCTTCTGTATTGCCAGCAGGGGGGCTGCCTGTAATGACAGGTGGTCCCCCTGCTGGCTAGAAATAAAATTAAAATAAAATTAATAAGTGTAAAAAAAAAAAAAAATTATACTTAGATCATATATATATATATATATATATACACATATATAAAAAAAATTATACTTAGATCATATATATATAAACATATACATACACACACACACTGTCTAGGTGTATTTTACTATTAATATATATATAATTATATATATATATTAATATCAAATTACACGTAGACTCATACTGATTAAATATATATATAATTATTGTTATATATATATTTATATATAATATAAAAAATTTAATATGTAAATACGTTAAAAAATAAAATAAAAAAAATAATTTACAAAAATAATTTAAAAATATATAGATGTGTGTTATTTCGTTCTAACTGTATTGTGATATTGATATATATATTTATATCAAAATACTCGTAGAATGAATATATATATATATCCACATACATAAATATATATGTATATATCACTATATATATACCTATATATAAATAAAAATATATTTTTAAAAATTATATATATATATATATATACACACATATAGATTCACATACGTATATATATATATATATATATATATATATATACATAGATTAATTCTACATATATATTTATGTAATATTTTTACATAATTGGGTATCTTAATTAATTACAATTAGCAGGACCTGCCTGACAACCCATGCCGAAAGTAAAGGGAATTTAATTTGCTAGCACTATATTTAACCCTATAACTTTCCAAGACACCAGAAAACCTGTACATGGGGGGTACTTTTCTACTTGGGAGACTTCGCTGAACACAAATATTAGTGTTTCAAAACAGTAAAATGTATTACAACGATGATATCGCCAGTAAAAGTGACTTTTTTGCATTTTTCATGCACAAACAGCACTTACACGGCCGATATTATTGCTGTGATACTTTTTGCTGTTTTGAAACACAAATATTTGTGTTCAGCGAAGTCTCCCGAGTACAACAGTACCCCTCATGTACAGGTTTTATGGTGTTTTCAAAAGTTACAGCGTCAAATATAAGGCTTGCGTTTAATTTTTTTCACATTAAAATTCGCAGATTGGTTACGGTGCCTTTTGAGACCCTATGGTAGCCCAAGAATAAAAATTACCCCTATGATGGCATACCATTTGCAATAGTAGACAACCCAAGGTATTGCAAACGGGGTATGTCCAGTCTTTTTTAGTAGCCACTTAGTCACAAACACTGGCCCAAATTTGCGTTTTTTGCATTTTTCACACAGACAAATACTAACGCTAACTTTGGCCAGTGTTTGTGACCAACTGGCTACTAAAAAAGACTGGACATACCCCATTTGCAATACTTTGGGTTGTCTACTATTGCAAATGGTATGCCATTATGGGTGTAAATTTCATTCCAGGGCTACTATAAAGTCCCAAAGGCAACGTAACCAATCTGGCGAATTTCAATTTCAAATGTAACATGCTATATTTGACCCTGTAACTTCCCAAAACACCATAAAACCTTTACATAGGGGGTACTGTTTTACACATGAGACTTTGCTGAATACAAATGTGTATTTTATTGCAGTAAAAGCAAACATTATTATTACATTGACAGGTAAAATGTCATGTAGAACTAAAAAAATCAAAAAAATCTTATTTTTTTCATATAAAATTATGTTTCATAGCTAAATATTTGATATTAAATGAAAGCCCTGTTTCCCCTGAATAAAATGATATATAATAAGGGTGGGTGCATTTAATATGAAAGAGGTGAATTATGGTTGGACAGACATGTAGCGCAAATGCCAGGTTTTGTTTACATTTTATTTTGTTCACAGAGTGTACATTTGGCTCAGTCCTTAAGGGGTTAAATGTATATCTACCCGAAGGAGACCTTCTCACCTACACGTATGAACAAAAAAGTTCCATTAATTTATCCCTTTAAGAGTATTGTAAATAGCGTTAGCTGTACAGATCTGAGGTGAGCTGCATGACCGAGATATAGAATTATGCTTGTATGCTAATTACATAAAAATGCACTTTTCACTATAAATATATTCCACTCGAAAAAGGGTTTGTTTTTTATATATAAAACTGTACATCTGACAGTCAAATGTAAAATGAATGGCTGATTGATTCCACACAAGCAATGTTTTAGCCGCTAATTAGACCACAGCAAAGCACTGAGAATAATTTATGAGGTG